GTGTGTGTGTGTGTGTGTGTGTGTGTGTGTGTGTGTGTGTGTGTGTGTGTGCGCGTGCTCCATCTCCCTTTTTAAAAGCGTGCAGATGAATTAGCTCAGGCACATTTCTGCCCCCCGTTGCCTTCTGTGTTTGTCTTCCTGCATAGAAACCTGAGCTTGTCAACGAGTGATTGCCTCAGTGAAGCATTACAACCCTGCACTTACTGCAGGAAAAAAGCTTGTATTATTAATTTCAGGTTGCCTGGCTGTATCCCACTCGCTCCCCTGAGGACCCCACTTAATTATCTGCCCCTCATCAGCTCTGTCTGTCCTTACACATGCACGTGTCAATAAAACACACAGCGGACGCCACAAGGTGGATGAGAACTGTGTCCAGGAGAAGAAAGCAGAGAGGAGGGAGAATCAAAGCCGAGGCAACTCCAGTCCAGGCCCCGAGCCGACGGATCGGCTGAGCGTATCCCTGAATAATTCATACTGTGGGTCATGTTTAAGTCATAAATGGGATTACAAATTTACAGCAGTTATTTTTTTCTGCATGTTGTTCACTAACAGGCTGAGAAGAAACAAGGCAGAGACATTAGAGCGCAAACATGCAAACAACCATCTACTCATTAAGAGTTTACAAGAAGAATTTTCAATTGTTTAAAGGACATTTCTGTGTATTTTCTGCTCTTCTGGATAGAAAACGTGCATATTGAATCACATTTACAGTTTGGATGCTGGTGTCACTAACAAAGGTTTTTTTTTTCTGACAGGAAACACCAGCTCTGTTCTGAAGCAAAATTTGTTCAGCAGCCAACTTTGATCAGACTCCAGGTGAATTATTAAGCATGAAAGTCAATGCAACACTACGTCTACGACACCGCAGTTGCTTCAACAAAAGATCTTTGTCGTCTTTGTGTTGCTTTTTTTTATTTGCAGGAGTGTGTTTTCACGCACCTGGGAGAGCTGAGAGGCGAATGATGTTTCCCATGATGCATCAGGAAACACAGAGAAGGAAGGGGATATGAGGAGAAAAAACAAAAAGAGTCATTAAATAATTAAAACCATGCATTAAGCACTTTTATTATAATCAAATACTGATCCGTCCTGTTCCCAGCTCGTCAAAGCTTGACTGTTTTCAACATTCAAGCTTTGTCTCTGGATTTGGTGGATTTGAGATTTCTGGTTTGTTTTGACTTGAAAGAGGAAGAGGAGGGTAACCAGCAGAAACAGAGAAGGTTAAACAGACGATGAAAACAAACTGTATCCACAGAGGAGGACGAGATCAGAGTCCTGCCCACACTGTTTGACTGACAGGTGATATCCAATGGAAACGCATCATATACGGAGGCGGAATAAGAACGGAGATGGAATAATATTTTTTTTCACCATCAACACAGTGAAATATGAGAACACCTCAATACAACCTGTGAAAGAAATGTGCATTTAGAGAATGTGTGTGTAGTTTTTTAACACATCAAAGCAGAAACTTCATAAAATGTCGGGGTGAGGATTGTAATCGATGGGATCCTGCAGATATGTAAAATATTAAGCAGCTGTCCTGAGAGCTTTCATCAGGAAGTCTCTGCACCACATCTCCGCTACATCTACACTAGTTTACTTATTTATCTGAGCTTTAGTCCATTTGCTCCCAAAAGCTCCTGTTTCTACACTCTAGTGTTTCCAGACCACAAACCTGATTTACTTATTCATGTGTAAATGCATCAGATACATGCTCATAGGTTTATTTTGCACCTGTACTCCACCACCCACACACCCACCCACCCACCCACACACACACACACACACACACTAAAATTTAATGATTTATGTTATGGGGTTTTACTTATTGTCCCCATAAATAAGACGGGTCCCCATAATGTGACGGTGTAAACCACCGGCCTGTGAAGGTGGAATCATCTGGCGCTGTAAAGGTTTCAGTTCATCTTTACATTTAAACTTTTTGTAGAATTTACATTTACAAATTGTTGTATTGAAGACGTATTGTCACTCCCACATATCTGCTCTTATCTTCCTGTAACAGCCAGAAGGAGTTTGTCTGATCCCTCCTCGTTTCCCTCCTGATATCTGTGATTTTTTTTAATTTTACTTTACTTTGATTTCAACAAATACAGGATGTTTTGGGGGGAATTTTCTGAAATTTTCTGAAAATAAAAAAATTACTTATATTATCCATGCTGGCACATATAAATAAATTACTTCAGATGAACCAGATTAAACTGTCGCAAGTAGTATAGTATAGTAACTTAAATGTATCCCAATAGTTAAATATTTTTATGATCATGTATCATCTTTAATCTTGAGGATGGTTGCAGTATGTGTCAGTGAAGAACTCATTCCAATTTGGTGCAGATTCAGATCTGGGGGAGGATCCAGGATTTTTTTTCCACTCTCTTTAACACTGTGTGTTTTTTCGTTGAATTTTCAGAGAATTATTCATGAATCTTGATGAAAAGATTTGAACATATTTAGGGGGTAAAGTGTGGTTTCTGATTTAAATGTGGTTTCATAGGGGTGGAGGGTTTTCAGCTGCTGGATGGTAACAGATAGAAACCTGTGACTTGCACCAAAGAGAAACATAATGTGGCCTTAGCTATAAGGCCTGTTTTAATTGAAGGGGCGTTGGTGGAAGTCTGTGTTTGAGTTCTTTGTATAACACAATATCAAGGCACTTATCTTAACCGGGTTATGTGTTGTATTCCCACTGAGACCACCATTTTTTTTTATTTTGCACAAATCTCTCTTCTATCATTGCACTTTGTCAATATGACAACGTTCTCTCTGTGGCTGTCGCTTCATCTTTATCTCGCTGACTTCACCAACTCCTCCTCCGTCTCTGAGCTCTGCAAATACGCCTGAAAGCCAGAGCTTTACTGCCTGCAGATCCCCAGCTGCCATCCACATATCACAGTTAGTGCTTGCTTTGTAAAGCCTGAAGCTGAGTAGATACAGTTCTGCAGCACTGTGGACTGCTTACTAACCAGGGCTGCTGCTGACCAGCTGGATGTGATACAAACTACACTGATACACTGAGGAAAAGAAAAAGCTTCTCTCCAACATTTCTCTATGTTTGTTAGTTTATCATCTTCAGGAGTTGATGGAAATATGTGCAGCTCAGTACAGTATCAATACCCTGAGAAAACACAGATCTCCAGTCAGTCTCCCTGCATTGAGAAAAACAGTATTTATTAAAAGTTTATTGTTATATGTCAGCCACTCTGGAGAAATGTTGTTTAATTTCTGCTCTGAACCTGCAGTTGACCTTCTCTGTATTGAAGCTTGGCTTTGTGTTCTCTCTGCTGCACTGAGTAAACAGACAAGACAAACAATCAGCTGTTTTCTGAATGTCTGAGCGACACTCTGCTCAGTGGCTCTTTGTTAAGATTTACACACAGTGGACTCACAAAGGCATTAACAAGCACCACTCTGTTTGGAATCTGTCACAACAACGACGACGCAGACTCTTAATACTGCAGAACTAACTAATAGACGAGACTGTTTGCTGTGAGGCCTCCTCAGAGCCAATGTCTGACATTATTTCCTCTGCGTTTGTAAAATGGAATCAATCACGTCCTTGATTTGGTCTTTACTAGTTGTGTAGTTATTGTGAACTGACCCAGTAAATATCACTCTTTTAGTGTTAAAATGTTTATATTTGATCCAGTTTTAATTGTAATTAAGGGAGTGCACAAAAGGATTTTATACGACATATGTACATTCTGGTTGCTTCTACCTAAACTTTACATTGATTGGTTTGTAGACGGGCGTGTGTCTGGCGTCTGCTTGTTGTTTTCAATGTTGTATTCACTTTTTAAAAATTAAAGTGAATACAATACAAAGTGGTTTACCTGGTTTATTTCACTGCCACTGTAATATTAATGTTTTTACTACTAGCAAGATGATTGTTGTCGTTCAGATATCATGTCGAGGATTACAAAGACTACAAGCAATCCTTAGAGCTGCTTCCACTTCTTACTCTTCTTCTTCAGGTTCCTGCAATTACTCCAAAAGTTGGAAAAATTCCCAAAAACTGGAAATGATCTGAATCATGGTTCAGTTTGATCCAGACTGAGACCACTTCTTTTGGTCTGTGGTCCAAGGCAGCTTTTACACCTGTAACTTCTGGTTTGGACGAAAAGTCTGAAGGTCCGAACCAAATGAGGTGTGAAAGTGCAGCTATTCTGATCAGTGGAGGGAAACTTTTACCTCTGAACCTCAGTTATCAAGTTCAGCATGAAACCACACATGCTGGCAGAATAAAAGCCGGCCATTGTCCTTTCAGCAGCAGCAGCAGCAGCAGCAGCAGCAGCAGCAGCTTCCCTTCAATTATAGATGAATCAGTTCCTTTCCCACCCTCCTACCCCCAAATCATCCCTCATTCTTCTTCCTTTCAGCCCCGGCCATTACTGCCCCTCTGAACACCTTCAGCGCCGGCGTTCTTTCCCGCTCCCACCCTCATTTGTCATGCAGGAAGTCTTTTAATGGAGCTAACCAATGGGAGGAATAATGGAGTGGCCAGACGGGGATCCATCTAATCCCTCGTGTTTCTGTACATCTTGAAAATAGAAACGCAGCCACTGAGCTCGTAGTTGTACAACTGCTCTGCTGTCATGTTGGCCCGAGGGGCGTTCAAGTTTTATCATTACAACTCAACCTTGTTGTGCATCCTTATGTAAGGTTGTGTCCAGACATGGGGGTAATTTTGAACTTTTTAATTTCTTTAATCATATATTTTTTAAGAAGGTACACTTGTAATATGTTATTTTCAGACAAAGGTGTGTTTTTGTTACCTATGTCTTCACACAGTTGACTTTTTTACTCCCATAATGGTCAATCAAACCATATATTTAAAAATAAAAGTTACATCTCATCAACATTAATTCAGTAAGCTGTTTGTGTCGTGCGGTTCTCTGACGTGTGAAATCAGAATCCCGTGAACGAAGGTGAACGAACCTTATTTATGTTGCTGAAAGCATCACAGATCTCAGCAGCAATGTGTTCAGAAGCAATGTCCCAGTTACTGAGGATTATACACAGATTTCTCTTGGGGGGGAAAACTGTGTTTTTTTCTATTTTTCTTTCCGCTGGTAAAAAAAAAAGTTTCCAATGAAAACTGTTCACAATGAGGACTTTTGGAAAGTGAGTTTCCAGGCCAGCGAATGAAAAAAACAGGAGCTAAATTGTTATAAAGTCATTGATTTAGCACAGAAACAAATGGACCTTGGGGCATGAATGATTAACCTCTTTGGTGTTTTTGTAAGATTTGTTAAGATTGGGCATCTTTTTGATATTTCTGTTTTGGGGAAATGGACACACAAATGTTTTATGAAAGTGCAGGAGTTCTTTACCTGTGGAGCTGCAATGCTGAGTGCAGGGTTGGCCAGTTCAAACCTCTCCTGGGATTTCTCTCTGGCCAGACGAGCCGCCTCCTTCACCTCTTTAAACTGCTCTGCAAACTGTAGGTGGAGGGGGAGAAGAGCCATAAGTCACACTGTCACCTAATGTGTACAAAGATAACCTTAAACATCAGCGCTGCAACACACACACACACACACACACACACACACACACACACACACANCACACACACACACACACACACACACACACACACACACACACACACACACACACACACACACACACAAAACCATATCTTCCTTCAGGTCCTGTACGTTTATAATGATGTTGTCACTTTAATGGTTGTTCTCTTCTCATGCTGCTTCACTCCAGAGGAAAATTAAGAGGTTTAGATATTGTTTAATTTATTGTCCAGGTACTGTGACCTCTGTCTCCCTTAGAGGACAGAAATATAGTTAATGCAACTAATTCTGCTGTTGAAATAACAGCTTGTTAAAAAGTAGAGCTTGTTTTATCAATTTGTGTTTTTGTGTTAAGTTTATGATTAAACGGTAAAATATCATAACTCAATAACATTTATTTGTCATAGAAATGAATCGTATCAGTATTGGAATGTTTTTTTTAACTTCCTAATAACTACTGAACGACAGAGTATTTTGTTTTTCCGTTGCCATAGTTTCAGTGAGGGATGTTCACCTGCTGCAGCTGCTGCTCGGTGGAGAAGCCCAGGCCGTACACGGTGTTGGCCCGGCTGTCCGCCCACTGGCCAAACTTCTGGGAGGTTTTGGTGAAGGTCATGTTGGGGGTGATGGTGCTGTTGATGATAGCCTGGCACCACAGGGAATAAAAGAAATTACATGAATTCAAATAGAGTGGATCAATTGTCCTGAGAGGAAAAGTGGGACATTGTGAGAAGAAAATTAAGGAAGGAGAGTGATAGATACTGAGGTTAACCCCAAACAGGAATTCACTGAAAGTCATGGTCCGACTCAAAAGCCCTTTTTCCACTGGTCAAAACCCACAATACCACCAACTACCACCTGGCTTTTGTCTGCAATAGGAATGGATTCAATCGTTCAGCTCAGGTCAAGAGCTCTGCAGTCGACAGAGAATTCTATTGACTCTGGCTCCGATCGGAGGGAAAAGAAACACATGCGTTTGTGATGCACTGGTGGGAAAATCAGGAAACTCCTCTATTGACAATATGAAAGGAGCTAATAACATTTTTTTTAAACACATACAGCCTCTGATTTTGGTGTGAAAGCTGTAAAACACTTTATATAACGATGGATGACATGGCTGTAAGACAAAGAGTCATAATCGGCCCCCTAATGGTTAGTTGCTTTCTCATTTTCAACATTCTCCATGAAGCAAACTGAAAAGACCAACTTTCCTATTTCTGTCATTTCAGGTAGCTCTGCTAACTACATCACTGATGTATATGCAAATGCTCATTTTGTTTGTCCGTTTGGTTTTATAGTGAGTTAACAGCTGAGACTGGCGATTGGTAAAGTGTCTCTATCTGCGGGACGTTTCCATCCCCTGATTGCAACTCTGGCTCCAAATGCACAAGATGGCAACGTTCGTATCCAGGATGTTTTGGCTTCATTTCTGGATAGTGGGAGGAAGAAGAGACACGTCGTCTATCTCTCGTCTAACTGGGACATAGACTAACAGGCTCTGTAATAACTTTATGGACACTATTTTTTCAGAAGTGCAGATGAGTCAGATCTTAGAGAGGAACGGCTCTGACTCTGTTTCTGTTTTAACTAGCCGGTGTTCTGCACGTGTATTTATCTGCTGCACTGAGACACGTGCATTGGAGAATATACATAATTCCTGCCACATTTAAATGTCGAATTCATTACAGCACTTTGTTATTTTTCATTTGTACTTGACCAGAAAATATGCTTATTTCCACTGATTATGAAGAGGTCAACTGTGCAGCAGCTTGTTACATCAAACAGGTGCTGAGGACGCTCATTAGCAATAATAATTCAGTCTTTATGTTGTACTGACTGTAACATAGACAAGTTACATTAAATGACGCAGAACCCAGAGCCATCGCTGTTGTATCACGTTAAGTTAAATACATCGAGCAGATAACGACCAGGCAACACAAAGAAAGACAGTTAAGTGAAAAGGTTTGTTGTAGGGAGCAATGATCTGCTCAGAAACAGAGTTTTAAGGGGATTTGTTGCCAAATGTAGATTTCATTAGTCTCTCCTCTAATGTCAGTAGAATAAACTGGCACATGTGGCAGAAAAGAACAAAGCACAGTGTTTTCTCTGAGTTTCAGTTTGGTGCCAACAAGATATACCATTAGTGCCTTAATGTTGTTGTGGATCTGGTATTACCCACGTGGACGCCTTATAAATATTCCGCTGACAATGTGCATATTTCACAAATACAATCTTTCATGCAAAAGCTAAAAATAGATCTATTTTTTATTTTCAGAACCTCGGGATACGATGCAAAATCACATGAAAGTCAGGATGATAATGAAGAGCCAAAAATACTTCATGACAGAATGTTGCTGAATGCAACAAACTGCAGTTTGTGAGTCAAAAACTAATTAGACTTTTGATATATATACATTGTATATACTGTATATCTATATCTATATATCTATAGATATAGATATATAGACGTTGTTTAAAATCATTGCCTTTGTGTGATACATATGTGTGTGTGTGTGTGTGTGTGTGCGTGTGTGTGTGTATTCATGTGCGTTGGGCTCTTACTTTAGTCCCACCCACGCTGATGATGCGGTAGACGCTGCGGCTGGCATCGTAGAAGAAGGACACGGTGACGGCGTGTTTGCTGGCCGGCAGCCAGTTGCGTTTGGTGGCCGGGTCAATCTGGAAGACATGAGCTCTGGCACTGAAGATGGGCTGCTCCCTTTAAAGAACACACAACAGAAAGACATTAACACATTAACTTGACGCTGCTGGTGACTCAGAAGAGAAGAGACGGTTTCAGTTGTCACACTCTGTCTCTTTAGCTTTGGTGAACATGCTGACATGGTTATCGGATAGATAATTTACTAATTTACTAACAACAATGTGCAAACCAGAAGAACACACACTTACAGATCAGCCATAAAAAACATGACATCTAAACCACATGATGATGCACAAACATAGATTCTTGCAAATGTAGGAAACAGCATTTGCAAGTATAACATTAAATAATTAATATATAATTAAATCAAATTAAATATTTCACTTTTTAACTCCAGATCTGAAAAAAATAAATACTACACACATCCATCTGTGACTGCAGAATTTCTCAGATGCCCATTTCACAACCTGAATGATGAATTTGTGCTCATTTAAAATCTAATTTGTAAGTCGTTGTTTTCAGGCGGACAGACACAGACACTTTTTAGACACATTCAGTACTGACAAAAGCGAGACATGTTTGTTATGCAGCCGGCTGAAGGTAAATCCTGGAACACAAACTAAAGGTATCAGCGGGACAATATTTGGACAAACCAGAAAGCAAGAAAACATGAGGCTTTTTCCCGATGTTGAATTTCTTTTGATTAATTTGCCTAAAATTGGCATCGGCTGCTGTTGACTTCCATTACTCTGAGCTTGTTATTGTCCCACGAGCTCCTGCTGGCAGCGATGTAGTAGAAATCTCTTGTCTATAAAAATGGCTCTGTGTCCTTTTTGAACTAAAACCTATTTCACAAACATTTTCTTTCAAAAGCTTCTATATTTATAGTTAGTGGCAGCCAATAGTGGACTTAACAAATATGTAAAAATGTTTCAGCTCATCAAATAGGCCTAAATAAAAGGAGCTGCAGGAGCCATTACAGGGACAGGGAAGGGATTTATATCATTTTTAAGAAAACAAACCATCCACCAAAAAGGACTGATAATAATAGAGCAGAACAGAACCAGATGAGTGTGGGCACACACACATTATTTCTACCTCTGCCAAGTCTGTTTATGTTTGTTGGTGTGTTTGATTGTTTGTGAGCAAGAATTCTCAATAACTATCGGAGGGATTTCCTTGAAACTTGGTGGAAAGATGTGTTAAATTAAGGTTTCGGATCCAGGAACTTTTGAATCGCTTTCTTCAACATTGGACGTTTGTGTTTTTGGCATTTTCACTGATTTCCCAGCAAATTTTCATGGATCAGGCACATATAGGGAATCTATGAGTGTGTGTACTTTGGTGCAGCTTTATTGAATTCAATGCGACTGTCAGAGGACGTATGTGTTCTAAAGAGCACCCCCTCTAGTTTTATCATTCATTTTCCTTAATGTTTTCTACTGTGAATACATGACATTCAGTAAGACCTCTTCATTTGAGCCTGAGGTCCAGACTGTCTCAGTTTTAGGAGACATAAATCATGTTAGGAGACTCAATCAGTTTCTTTATGTGGACAATTTCACCGCAGGATCTGAATTTTAAGTAGAAGCGGCTTCAGGAAATCAGTGAACACTTCCACGCCGTCACTTCGGCAGCATCCATCACAGTAAATTATCCCGTCGAACAAGAAACATGTTTAGTTGTGGTTTTATTTCCAAATGAAAGTTACTGTATGATCTCACACAATCATCACTGGTGAAACTGACTCAAAGTTTCACCAGTTAAAGTTAGTAAGTTATAATTATTACAATACATAGTGTGCTTACATCTATCGATCAATCAATGACTTTAGCTCTAAGAAGAAGTTGTGTACAGTAGAAGTTACCTACAGCTACTGCATTGATAACAACATCAATGATACTACACAACTTTGAACCTTTGGTTTAAAATGTATAGAGGAATCTTCCAATTATATTTCCCACCTGTGTATTATATAGGGCCTGTAGGTGTTATTTTTAGGGTGTCATTTTTCAGAAGCAGGAAAAATATTCCCGTTAATAAGCTTCTTGTTCTCTTCTGTTGCTTTATGAAAAAAATAGGGCAACCAAGATAAGAATGCCTTCACACTTATACTATTAAAAAAATGTGCGTCATAGAAAAATGTTAATCTCACACTCAAGAAACCATTTTTAGTTCAGTGATCAAAGCCACGAGGCTAAAACATCTGTTCTCATCATTAAAATTAATTGGATATCATTATCTTTTTTTTGTTTGAGTGAAAACTGTGGTGATGTTTTTTTGGATCGTCCTCCTCAGAGTGCAGAATGACGGTGGATATAGTCACGAATAGAAAGACAACACTTCCAATTTCCAAATGTGATTGTTTTTTCCAGACATCCTCAGGGTCATTGATGCTCTCCTGGTGTAATGAGGCCGACGGTGCAAATGAAGCTGAAGATTTGCTAACCGCTAGCAGTCCAATTAGCCGTCCTGCTCCTTTTGGAGACAAACACACACTCGCTGTGGGGACTGACTGTGGATATGAGCTCGCAGGATGATGAGGGGACACACAGACACGTCATGCAACATAACACCGCTAATGTTTGCATAATGTTAATGTACTGTATACAATAAGCTGCTCCCACTGAAAGTCAATTATACACCAACATTAATGAGGATAATGTGCGCTGGGAGGAGGCCCCATTCTTTGTCTTAGCAAAGAGAAATAACCATTTACTATGTAGGTCATCTCTGGCTATATGGTGCATTGTTCCTGCTGGATTTGTGCGGAATTACCGAACATTTGCATACAAACAATGGTCATTCTCGTTCAAACACAGATTACCGAGGCTGCAGATGACCATAGCAACGGGCAGCGCGGCCAAGGAAGCAGATTTAGGTGACGTCCAGGTCCACGACGACAGCAGCTACAGATACAATAAATATAACGAACTTATGATGTATATATCATCAGTTCGTTGATATATATGATGTATATATATATAAAATAATAATTTGTCCGCCTGTTGCAACGATCAGTTGTTTTCAGGCATGAACTTCTTTACATATGAGGAGCACAGCAGAAGATTTGTTCCAATCAGATGCATTCACAACGACAGGAAAAGACCCAGAGCGTTCAGGTGCCTGAGTAGAGCAACAGGAGGGAGGACATGACGTATAAACTCTCCCGCTAAAGTCTTTTGTTTACAGCATTGGTCCTCATCATCAAAAGCTCTAATCTCGTTGTCTTTCCAAACCGACTTCTTCGTCTGCGTCTTCTACGTGTATCATTGTTTTTGTTTTTTAGTTTTGCGTCTGTATGAAGTGTCATCATTTACTCACTCGCTGTTAAATCTCCGGGCAACATCCTGCTGTATTCTCACTGAGGCTCCTCGGACATTCTCAGAGCAACTGACTCAAGACATTTGTGTATTCATATTCAGCCCCGCCAGAGTTCACTGCACGTCTGAAAGCAGCTTTACAGACAGTTGATAACAACACACCGGTACAGACAGAGCATCTGTAGGTCAACATGAACGTTGCTTCCAAGCATTTTAATCACTGCATTGAAATTCCTGCTGTGTGTTTCCCAGAGTTACCATCTCTATCAGATCTGTTGTGTCCTTGAGTGCGGCCATTTTAACAACTGTTTATCAAGTGATATATGTAGTTTCCAATAGTAGAGCCCCAATATCAGTGTAGTTTTATGAAAGCAACAACAAATCAGGCAGATCAACAGCACCATGAAAATACTCTATAAAACTAATTATCCGGCTCAACAACCAATAAACAGGGCCTTGAATGTATTAAGCCAATAATCCAAAACAGAATTAATATCAGAGCAAAATAGCTTCAACCAGGATTTTTTTTTTCTCGTCTCAATGTATAATGATGACTGACTGCTCGTCGTCTTCCACAGCGGATCTCACAGAAATGAGAGTCCCCCCCCCGTTGCTCTGTGACAAGACCGCAGAGCAGCTCAGACACGTTGAGGTTGGGTCATACTGGCAAATTAAAAGTGGATTAAAGTCCTCCTGAGGTGAAGGAGAGCAAACACGGCACAGCAGCTCGACGGGAGCAGAGGCCTCGTCTGAACTAATGCAGAGCAGTAAAGGAAAGAGGAACCTGATACGATTAATACGAGTCTGTGCAAGTTTTAATTAAATTTGTTGCCGTGTGAGTAAAATGTAAATGACTGGGCAGAAGGAGGCAGATGTTCATACCTGACAGTTTAAATAGCTGTTAGAAATAAAAGAAGACAAGTGAAACGTTAAAATACAGAAATCAGCCCAACATCTGTCACCTGAAAGGACGACATGTTATTAAATGTGCGTCATTAGGGGAATTAAATTGAATAAAGGGAGTCATCATTCTATTGGCTGACTTCTTTGCATTGCTATGAGACAAACAGTATTTGGATCATGAACTTAAGTGGAAAGGCACTGACTACAGCACATTCCTCCGCCCCAACAGTCCCTTGAGCAAACCACATGAAAATTAACTAGATCCAGATTTTTATTTATTCCGCACCAAGTTGCACACACTTAAATATCAGCTCCCTTAACATGTCTGATTCTTTTCATAGAGATCTATGAATGATTCTGTGTGAAATCAAGGAACATGTTGAAAAAAACATTCTAACAATTTCACAATGTTCAAGAGGGTGAAAAAAATCGCCCCCTGATCCAGATCCACACCAAAATTTAATGAGTTCTTTCTTGGGTCAGGCCCCAATTTTTCACAAAATATCATAGAAATTGGTTCAGTAATTTTTGCATAATCCTACAAACAAACACAGATGAAAACATAAGCTCATGAGTAAATCATATAGATCTGGCGTGTGGTTCTAGCGGAAGTAGAAAGGAGTACAAAGTAACATAAAATTAAATATACATAAAGTAACATAAAATTAAATATACATGATAAAAGATGGTTAAGTTATTTTCAACCTCTGTTGCTTAGTGATTGTGCAGGACCCCCCCCCCCCCCCCCCCCCCCCCCCCCCCCCCCACTGCTCTGAATCCAGTGAGGCATCATCAGGATCAATTATTGTTAATCTATTCCAGGTCATACAT